CCAGCTCAGGGCGGAGGCTTAGAGGTGGTTTGCTCTGCTTTGCCTTAGTCTTGGGATTTTATTCAATAGGAAAATATGGTTGATTTTAAAGATGTTCACCATATTAAAAACAATTTTTCTCATCAAAATTTTTACATTAATAACAGTGAAATTTTGCCCATGAGTTGGGGAATAAGAAACCATGTGCCCCTTTGAGTGCAGAGTTGAGGGTGAACTCAGGCTGCTTGAATGCAAACTTCCCCCCAGCAGGTATCAGCTGTGTGGCCTGCACATGTCACTCAGCCCCTGAGCCACAGTCTCCCCATCTGTAAAGAGGGGCTAACTACCAGCAGGCTGCTGGGAGGCTCCAACGTCCTCACACATGTTATGGGCTTAGGTGGTGAGAGCCTGGTCCATAGGGCCTGCTACCATTTTCCACTCTGGCTTTGGCTTCAAAGGCAAGCCTGGTGATGGCCCCAGGCATCTCCTGGGCAGCTAAGATGGCTTACCTGCTGAGCATAGCCTCGGAACATAGGGTTGACCAACTTGATGCCATGAGATAGGCTGGTGGGGACCACATAGCTCGGCCTGTGGGAAGACCACAACCCTTAATCCAGGAGGCCTGGCTGGGCTACTCAATTCAGCCAAGAAGACTGGACAGACTCAGAGGCACTTCCTGAGATCTGGGGAGGTGCCTCCCCAGCCAGAACCCCAACAGGCTCACACAACTCTACAGATAAGAAGGAAAGCATCAAGTCACGGTCACCTTGCCTAGGCAGGGAGCTCTTGACCAGGATGGCACAGTTTCCTGGTAGGCCACGACAGGTCACTTTAAAGACTGCTTTCATTCTAAAACATTTATCATGTTTTTTCTCATTTCAAAAGTCTTATGTTCATTATTAATAAATCCAAAATTTCAGAAAAATACAACAAAGAAACACTGCCAACTAACGATACCACCCTTAGATAACTAGATTCCAGCTTTCTCTGTGAAAACAGAAAAACACAAAGTACATACACATATACATTTAAACTTGGCTTACACAATTGGAATTACATTGTACCACCCCGGTTTTTAATAAATGCACTTAATATATTTCTGTGCACTCATTTTAAATTATTTCTATGCATTCATTTTATATTATTCCTGACTTTTCCTGGAGAAACAGATCTAGTCTGAGCTCCTGCTCTTTAAATTCATTTCTGTGCCAAAAGCCCAGCCCAGCTACACGCAAACAGAATCAGGGACAAGGCCTGGCACTGGTCACACACGTCTCTTGGCACAGACCCTGGGTGGTGACTACTGGCCAGGGTCAACACCAGGTTCAAACTGTAGCTTAGCTTTGGCCAGCTATCTGATCTTGAGCAAGATATTTAAAGCTCTCTGTGCCCCGGTTTCCCCATTTGTAAAACAGGGATGGATGCAACCTACACCCTCAAGCCTGCAGGGGCACAACATCTGGCAAAGCATTACGGGGGCTGAATCTACAGGAAGTGTCAGTCAGGCACTGATGGACAACCCCATCCCCACACACTGCCCAGCTCAGGGCCTCACTCACTCACCGTTTCTTGTGCCAGACCTCAGAGACCAGCTTCTGGTAACTCTTGCACAGGGCCGGCTTCTTGTCTGTGCGCACTAGGCCTCCACACTCCAAGAAAAACTGGGTCAGTGGGGGACTGGGGGCAGGGGAGAGTGAGCCAGGTCAGAAGGGGCAAGGGGTATGTGGCATCATTTATAAAAAGCTGGGTAGAGAATCAAGAGCTGGAGCACTTGTTCAGAGATGCACAGTGGCCCCCAGACCCATAAACACCTAAGGTGACTAGAAGGATCCCACTTGCATGGGCTCGATCATGTCCCTCTAAAGTCCTGATGGTGAAGCCCTAACCTCAGCACCTCCGCACATTTGAAGACAGGAACTATAAGGTGACTAAATTAAAATGAGGCGATGGGGGGACTCTGATCTAACTCCGATCTGACTGCTCCTTTTCTTTTTTTTTTTTTTTTGAGACAGAGTCTTACTTTGTTAACCTTGGTAGAGTGCCATGGCATCATAGCTCACAGCAACCTCAAACTCTTGGGCTCAAGTGATGATCCTCTTGCCTCAGCCTCCTGAGTAGCTGGGAGTAGACGATCCTCTCTATTGTTGAGCCAACACAATGCCAGACTATTTTCAGAGATGAGGAGTCTCACTGTTGCTCAGGTTGGTCTCAAACTCCTGAGCTCAGGCAATCTACCCTCCTTGGCCTCCCAGAGTGCTGGGATTACAGGCACAACCCACCATGCCTGGCCGACTGGTGTTTTTCTTTTTTTTTTT